TGTTCAACGCACCACCGTTTCCGTTTAAAAAACGTTTTGCACCGTTTTGTCGGGGCTGAACGCAGCCCTGGGCATGCCTCCCTGGAAGTGACGTCATCGGCCCGAAACGCAGCTCACTGATACAGGTAAATAAGGGACACCCATTCACGACCCCCGTTTATTATTTATTTATTATGTAAATAATTGTATTTATTTGCTTAAATTAGGACTAAATTATTATGTAATTTATTATGTTATTTATTTATGTAATCCCATTTTTATCTAAATAATTTAGCATTTTTTTTACTTTTTTATATGATTATTTATTATGTATATATTTATGTGAGAGATAGAAGTACAGTGTGTTCAATGTATTGTACTGTTGTTTAACAACTACCTATTGTTCAGCTGATGAAACATCTTTCCGAAAAAAAAAAACCTTTCAGTAGATAAAAACACCATAAATCAGTTGTGAGTATAGGACCTTTATATAGTGCATGCCATTGTAAGACTGTAAGTTTGTCCACCACCACATTGTTTTCATCCACGTAAAATTCTGGTATCTAACCTGGTTAAGGTCTAAAGGGATAGATAGTTCACCCCAAAAAAAATTCTGTCGTTCAAAACCTGTAAGACCATCATTCGTTTTCAGAACACAAATTAACATATTATTTTATGAAATCCGAGAACTTTCTGACTAGGGTTGCCACCTTCAGCGAGGCAAAATAAGGGACACCCAATTAAAATTAATTGTTAAAATATTATATTAACTGGATATCCAAATTTTAATAAAACAATAGGCCTATACCTTTAGAAACACTGATGTGTCTGTCACTTTAAAGGTATGGTTCACCCAAAAATGAAAATTCTGTCATAATTTACCCAGGTTGTTCTAAACCTGCATAAAGTTGTCTGTTGAACACAAAAGAAGATACTTTGAAGAATGTGGGTAAGTAAACAGCTGCTGGTCCTCAGTAACTTCCATAGTAGAGAAAATTACTATCAGAGTCATGGGGACCAGAAACTTGTGTGTGTTTGGTTACCCAAATTCTTCAAAGTATTTTCTTTTATGCCCAACAGAAGAAAGAAATTATTACAGGTTTGGAACAACTTGTGGGAGTGTAAATGATTTTTGGGTGAACTGTCCCTTTAAGTCAGACAGTCCACCGTGAGCAAATGCTTCTCTGCAAACTGCGCGTTCATCATTAGTTACTGGACAGACCCATTGATGTTAAAATAGCAGGATTTCTACTATCAAGTATACTACTTGTTGCAAATAGTGGCAATTATCTGCACTTCAGTATTGTAGTACATTATAAAACAGTATGCAATAATAACGTATTGAGTGTAAATTATAATTTTAATTTTAATTATTAAATGGATGCCACCTTATTGGTACAATAAAGCCCTCCCTACACCTACCCTAACCCTACCCGATACTTTATTTTCAACTTTTTGATTATTTCCTTAATTTTTATTGAAAATAAATGCCTTTACGATGTGATACAAGATTTGAAAAGGGAGAAAAAAAAGTTTGGCAAAAGGCGGGATGAACCCGGGTCGATCGCATCAAAAAGCCAACGACACACGCTTATTCATCTGCACCACTGGAGCTGATGTTTTACAGCCACTTTTAACTAAATGTAAATATACACTCCGTATTTTTTAGTCCATAGTAAGGGCAATTCATACAATACATTTAAACTGAGCTACTTTAATACCATCTCCGAACTTTCTACCACGACTCTGCTGTTCTTCGGCTGGTTCTTCCTGGATACGCTGATTGACAGATGTCTCGTCCAGTCAGCGGTGAGTAATCCCAAACCAATGGCGCTGTCTCAAACTATACCTACCTCTTCCGGTTTGTCTGATTTGTCGTTGTGTTTTCTGACTTGTTAATTTGTTTTCGGATTTGTTGTTGTGTTTTCTGACTTGTTATAATGTTTTCTGAATTGTTGTTGTGTTTTCTGAATTGTTATTTAGTTTTTTGGACTTGCATTTGCATTTGTAATTTGTTATTTTGTTTTCAGAATTGTGATTTGTTTTGCACTTCTCGGTCACCATAAGTTACTGGACAGAACCAGTAATAACTTTCCCGTTCAGCTCTACATGTGGAGAGCCTTGTATTCAAAGGGCAGATGTGAGCTCCAGATGTTTTAAACTGCGCAGGTTTACTGCATGCTATAGGCTATCTATGGTTATAACACCCACATTCCAGACTATCAGGCAGCGTTTACAGATGGGCGTGGCTTGACTGTTTATTCAGTTTCTGTATGTGTATATGAAAGATCGAGGTTTAGCGCAGATCAGGCGAAGACATCTGACTTCTGCGCTCACAACCGCAAACATGATTTTCATTTTATTTATTGTAATTTTATTGGTTGCATATTTTGTTGGTCATAGGATTTTTGTTCATAGGAAGACCTTCAACGGCACTGCCAAACTATATGGGAAAACGGTCATTATAACTGGTAGGTGACTTTTTTTCTTCTTCAAAAGTTTACACTGCAAGATTTCTCAGAGGTTGTTCTTTTAGCTCAACTATTGGCAATTAAGAAAATAAAAGGTAATTAAAAATATTAATAAAAACTATTTCAGTAATAGGCCTACTAATATATCCCTGAAACAAATGCATTCCATGTCATAGGCTATAATACAAATAATAGATAATACAAAACAGAGTTTTCTGGAGTAGAAAAAAAGCAACCAAACCTAGGCTACTACAAACCCTTATGAAACTTGCAAGGGGAGGCTTAAGATTATTTCAAATTACTTAAATTAATATTGTAATGAAAAGTGTGACTTATAGACCCAGGAAAGTCACGTAAATTAATGAAATCTTAAAATGCCATGTGCATAATTATAATGAATATACATTTTTGGGACGTGGACGATAGGGGCTTTGGAGTCAAAATGTAAAGTATTACTGCTCTAAATAAAGTTCAGCGAGTGCAAATACATGAAGCTATGACTCTGTGCCTGTCTATGCTGGAACAACAAAGAATACATATTCCATCTGTTGTGTGTGACAGGTGGCAACACTGGCATTGGGAAGGCGACTGCTGCAGACCTGGCCTTGAGAGGAGCCCGAGTGATTCTGGCCTGCCGCAGCAAACAGAGAGGAGAAGCGGCAGCACAAGAAATCAGGACGGTGAGTGACAGCTCAGATTCTACTCTGATCTGGGAAGACCGGGGCTAGTTGTCACAGTGAACATTTCTAGAGACCTCTGTGACTGTGTTAGTAATGACTAAACTATTAAACACTGAAGACATGAAAAATCGTTTTGTCCCGGTTCATTAATTAAGCTAAAACTTCATGCTTTATCTATTGCACAAACATTGTGTCTGATAAAACATTCTGATATTTTCCTAATAGGAAACTGGGAATGATGCTGTGATCTTTATGCAACTGGATCTTGCAAGTCAGAAATCCATCCGATCTTTTGCCGAAACCTTCCTCAAGTTTGAGCCCAGATTGGACCTGCTCATCAATAACGCTGGTAAAATTAAAAAAGCAAACCTAACCAGCTCCTAAACCTAAGGTTAACGTCAACATACATACACTACCTGACAAAAGCTTGAGGTAATTAAGATTTTTATTGTTTTTAAAATCACTTATGTTCACCCAAGGCTGCATATATTTGATCAAAAATACAGTAAAAACAGTAATATTGTGAAATATTTTTACAATTATTATTTTTTTGTTGCAAATTGTGTGTGTGTGTGTATATACAGTATATATATATATATATATATATATATATTATAAAAATTCTTAGGTTCATTAAAGGCACAATATGTAATTTTCGCCGCTAGAGGGCACGTAGGCTAAAAGCCGTAGAAGCGAAACGAGGCCGCTGAACGAGCGTGACACATGGCTCGAAAGCAGCGGAGCTTTTATTATGCCACGGTCGACCGCTTCCACTCCTTCCGGTCGTGCGTATGTGGGGGAAAAAAGCAGCGCTGTTTTATCCTACTAGATACATTTGAAAGTTCTGTTATAATCAGAGGCGGACAGTAATTAAGTACATTTACTTGAGCAGGTTTGATTTTATTTTCTTCCTTATCAGTCTGTATTTACAGCAGTTTCACTCTGTTCAAATGTGGATGAATGGCTGCACATAGATGTGTGCACACACTGTCAGAACTGTGTGAGATCACTACCATCCTGCTTTTGTGGGGGTGGGTAGGGGTGTTAAATATTTATTTATTTATTTATGTTTTGTTTT